TACCATTGGCTGGGAAATGTTGAATATATGGACTTTTCTCCTTTTTACTGCCAACTAATTGCAATAACTGAGAAAAATTACAATGGAAAAAGGGCCCATGAATTCATAAAGAAGCATATAAAAAGACAGGTTTGGTGTCAAATATAACTGACTTTGTGAATTCTGACATTGGCTGTGTGGCCCTAGACAAGTTACTCACCCTTTGGAACCTCTTTTTCCACTTCTATAAAGTACAGACAATTATATGTTCCTATTTTTTTAAAAATTGAACTCAGCTTTACCACTGAGTTATATCCACAGCCCTTTAAAAATTTTTTTCAATTGTAGGTGGACACAATACCTTTGTGTTTTTGATTTATTTTTATGTGTGCTGGGGATGGAACCCAGTGTCTCACACATGCTAGCTAAGTGCTCTACCACTGAGCCACAACCCCAGTGTCCCCAGCCCTTTTTTAAAATTTTGAGATATGGTCTAAATTGCTTAGGGACTTGCGAAATTTCCCACACTACTTTCTTTTTTTTTTTTTAATTTTATTTTTAATATTTATTTTTTAGTTCTCGGCGGACACAACATCTTTGTTGGTATGTGGTGCTGAGGATCGAACCCAGGCCGCACGCACACCAGGCAAGTGTGCTACCAGTTGAGCCACATCCCCAGCCCCCACACTACTTTCAAAATTGGGATCCTCCTGCCTCAGCCTTCAAATTGCTGGAATTACAGGCATGTACCACCACACCAGAAATATGTCCCTTTAGTAGTATTTGGTTTGAAGCAGCTATTTAATGATTAGTAACTATTCTGGTGTGTTAAACAAGATTTTTAACATCTACTACATCTGAATCACATAAAGAAAATACATGGGGCTTGAGGTGTTGTTCAGTGGTAGAGCACTTGGCTAGCAGAATTGAGGTACTGGGTTCAACTTCCAGTAAAACACACACACATACACACACATACACACACAAAATAATAAAATACACACAATAAACCATGATTCTTTCCTCCACAATGTTTACATTCTATCCAGGGAGATGAGTCAGGCATAAAATATGTTCAATAAGATACAATGTTATCGGGCTTAGGTGGTAGCTCAGAAGAAGAGTAGTTTGTTTGCACAGTGAGGCAATGGGTTCCATCCTTAACACCACATAAAAATAAAAGTATTGTGCCCATCTACAACTAAAAAAAATACTTTAAAAAGATACAATGTCATTATTCAAATGAGAGATATAAAACTAATATTAGCAACCATTTATTGAGTGCTTACAATAAATTAGGCAGTATACTAAGTGCTTTATAATCCTCTCATTTAATTTGGCAACCTTCTTCTTAGAAAGTACTATTTTTGTCTAAGGCCTTACCACACTGAATGTGCCTGATCTCAAAAGCTAAGAGGGTCAGCCTTGGCTCGTACTTGCATAGAAGAAAGTATAGGTGTGGTGGTGACACACCTGTAGTTCCAGCAGTGGGGAAGCTGAGAGGATCACTTGAGTCCTGCAGTTGGAGAGCAGCTTGGGCAACAATGAGATACTAGGTTTCAAAACCAAAAATTCTATTATTATCTCTTTATAAAAGAGGAAGCTGAGGCTCAGAAAGGGGAAATGAATTGCCCAAGGTTGCACAGGTGGGTGGGGCAGAGCACAGGGGTGAACCCCATTCTAAGCTCTAGGATTTATATCCTTATGAAAGTAACCAATTCCTATAATTTAGGGATTGTCTAGGTTTAACCATATTGTTCACACATTTCCTATCTATCCTTTTTTTTTAAAGTACTACCAAGGCTATTCAAGGTAGGAATCTAGACACAGGTGACTATCCTCTCTTTTCTCTCTGGTTAGTCATTAAATCTTTCTCTCATAGTTATCTCAGCCATAGTGAATCACAGCTCTCCAGGCTGTCTTCCTAAGTTTGTCCCCACATTGCAGCTAAGATGATCTTTTCATTTTTATTTTATTTTTTATATTTATTTTTTCATTGTAGTTGGACACAATACCTTTATTTATTTATTCACTTTTATGGGGCGCTTAGGATTGAACCCAGAGCCTCACACGTGCTAGGTGAGCACTCTACTACTGAGCCATAACCCCAGCCCTTCATTTTTATTTTTAAATTTTTGTTTTTGTTTATTAGTATTGATCCCAGAGTGTGAGCCAGATTCCTCAGCTCCTCCCCCCATTTTGAGACAGGATCTCGCTGAGTTGCTTAGGGCCATGATAAGTTGCTGAGGCTGGCTTTGAACTTGGGATCCTCCTGCTTCAGCCTCCCAAGTTGCTGGCATTACAGTCATGTACCACTGCACCTGGCTAAGGTGATTTTATATATATATTTGTAGACAGACAACAATAACTTTATTTTATGTGGTACTGAGGATCAAATCCAGTGCTTCACATATGCTAGGCAAATACTCTACCAACTGAGCTACAACCCCAGCCCCAAAGGTGATCTTTTTAAAGCTCACATCTGATCTTTAGTTTGGTATGTAAAGTCCTCCAAGATCTGGACCTTATTCCTCTTCCATTTCTTTTTTTTTAATATTTCTATTGATGGGTCTTTATTTATGTGTATGCGGTGCTGAGATTCGAGCCCAGTGCCTCACGTATGCTAGGCAAGCGTGTTACCACTGAGCCATACTTCCTCTTCCATTTCTTACTCCTTCTTACCTCAGATTCTACAGCCTAATTCTACTTAATTTGATGTCATCTGGTAATGCTGTTTCCATCACCTGCAATTTCCTTTCTTCCCTTTTAATCTAGTTAACACTTGTTATGACACCATCAAGTTACTTTGTGCATTAATGACCTTTTCCAGGAAGACTTCCCTGATGCCCTCAAGATGGCTGAAGTGTCCTACTTGCTTCCAAAACAGCTGGCCTGTTTATATCTCATTACCTAATTGTATCAAATCACATGGTACTGTTTCCTTAGTTTAACTCTACTTCCTACTAACCTGCTGATCAACTCTTTTGAATGCATAGTTGGAGTCCACACTTAAAATGAACATCTGACTTTTCAAAGTCAACTGTGTCCAGATTAAAAAAAAAAAAAGAATCCTGGCAGGTGATGAAGCAGGTCTATAATGACAGATTCTGGAGATGGAGGCAGAAGGGCAGCAAGTTTGAGGTCAGCCTCAGCAATTTAGTGGGACCCTGTCTCATAATTAAAAATAAAAGGTGCTGGGGTGTAATCAGCTGAAAAGACAGCAAGTGCTCACGCCTGTAATCTCCACAACTCTGGAGATTGAAGCAGGAGGATCACAAATTCAAGGCCAGTCTCAGCAACACAGTGGAGTTCCTGAGCAATTTAGTGAGATGCTGTCCCCAAATAAAAACAATTAACAAGGGTTAGGGTTAGGGCTGAGGTTGTAGCTCAGTTGATAGAGCACTTGCCTAGCACATTGAGGCACTGAGTTCGATCATCAGCACCGCATAAAAATAAATAAAAATAAGGGTGTTAAAAAAAAGGCTTGGTGATATAGCTCAGTGGTAAAGCATCCCTGGGTTCAATCCCCAGTACTAAAAAATTAAATTTAATTAATTCATAATTAATTAATTAATTAAAAAATAAAAATAAATAAAAGGTTTGGGGATGTAGCTCAGTGAAAAGCACCCCTGGGTCCAATCCTAGTACTGGAAAAAATAATAATAAAGGTGGAGGGAGGCTGTATAGAGAAAGGAAACCAGAGCTAGAGTTAAAAGTGTCAGTATAGTCCCAAAGAGGATGGATCAATAAACTGCTTGATTTGTATCCCAGCCTCTCTACTCCTTTGCACATAATTTAGCATCTGTTGTCTAAATTTTCCCACTGTACCACTATTACAGTAATAGTGGTACTTGATTCATAGGGTTCCTGTGAGGATCATTAAATTTTGGAAATTTTGTTTGGGCTCTAGGGATTGAACCCACAAGCACTTTACCACTGAGCTACATCCCCATTCCTTTTTATTTGAGACAAGGTTTCCCTAAGTTGCCCAGGCTGGCCTCAAATTTAAGATCCTCCTGCATCAGTCTCATGAGTTGCTGGGATTAAAAGTCTGGGCCACCTGGGCTGGCTTTACTTTTACATTAACTATGTAAGACATTATTTGTTAATCACTGAATTTTTTAGTATCCTTTTAATTTCTGCATTTCAAGTGAATGCTTCATTCATCTTTCCCTAATCCCTGCTCCCTCCACACTTTATGTGCTTGACGTTAGCAGAGTTCAATAAATGTTGAATTTACAACACCCACCCCATATTTTTTATTTATTTTTGAGCCTGGGTTGTCTTATATCGCCCAGGCTGGCCTCAAACCATGGGCTCAAGCCACCCCATCTCAGCCTCCTGAGTAGTTACTGGTGCACGCCACTCGCCAGTATTTTTAAATTGAGGTTAATATCCATAGCAAAGTGAAAAAAAAATAAGGCTATTGCTGAGATCCCCAGTTGCTCACAACATTATGCTAAGCAATATAGGGCGTCTTCCTTTTCACCTTCAGGTATCTAATAAAAAGAGGTCTTTGTTTTATAACATTCTCCCCTTCTCTTCGTGAAGCTCCCTTTCTTGTCCGAGTCAGCGTTTCTGCGATCAAAGTTTAAACGTAAGTTCTTTCTTCACTTCTACCAGTTCCAAGAGATCTCCTACACAAAAACATCTCTGGGTCATCGAACTTGGAAAAAAATAAATATTTTCCTAGATGAGGGCCTATGACGTCAAGCTTCCCCCGCCACCACCGAGCAGTTACTGTACAAACCAGTGCCGCATGTTTGCGCATGCGTTTCCGCTAGCCCGCAAAGAAACAATTTCTGACCCTCTCGGCACCCTTACGTCGCGAGGCGGCAGTGTCTCGCCTCGTTTGCGCGACGTCGGCTTCCTGCCGGAAGTGGGAAGAGAAGGAGGCGGGGCGGTTTTGCTCGTGGTGTTTCTTGCTAGGCTCCTGTATTCTGAGGTCTGGAGAGTAATTGTTGCTCAAAGGCTCTGCGGGTGGAGCGCGGGCGGAGGTGTGTTTTTCCAGTGTAAGTGCACACGTCCGGGATGCCGGCTTAGGACGATCTGTACTATCATTTTATAAAAGAACTTCATGCTTCCGCGAGGCTCTCTCCTAGTCGGCCGCAGGCTCTGCCACTGACTTGATGTGCACTGTGACTTGCCTTGTATCCCTCTCCGTGTCTCTGTGTCTAATCTGTAAAATGAAGGGAAGACAAGATCCCTAAAGTCACTTTTCAGTTTTTCCGAATGTAATTGAATGTCTGTTATTTCTTTTGAGCCACGTAGTCCGGAGGGTTAGTATCCTTGACCCCATTTTATAGGGAAAAGCTGGTGAGAGGTTACATGACTTCCTCAAGATTGAACAGATAACTTTTTGAGGTTTTAGAACTTGAAACTAGAATGTTACTCTGTAACTCCATGGTCAAATTTTCTTTGTATATTTCTATATCGTCAGTTCCTGGAACTGGCCACATAAGCAGATACTCAAAAAGTTTTGAATGAATTAATCTTGATTCCAAGGCCAATGCCATGCAAACCTGGTATCTCTCCATCTCTGATGTATAAACAAATGTTACTTTTCCAGGGTATCTTGTGCCTTACCTTACTGGGTGCTCTGAGTCCAGTTCTGTAGTCTTCAATTAATCAGACACCATGGAGGCACCCCCAGTTACCATGATGCCTGTTACTGGGGGCACCATTAACATGATGGAGTACCTGCTTCAGGGTAAGTAAATCAGAAAGCTGGGATTACCTGCTTTCCTCTTTTCAGCTTCTGTGGAAATGAAAGACTTACACAAAGGTAACCTGCATAGTTTCTGACACTCAGCAGACAATTTCCATCCCCTGCAGTGCTGGGGATTGAACACTGAACCTCATGCATGGTAGACAACCTCTACCCCAGCTCCTTATTTTTTAAATTATTTTAAACTTAAAATTATGGTTTCAAGGGGCTGGGGTCCTGGCTTAGCAGTAGAGTGCTCACTTAGCACATGTGGAGTGCTGGGTTTGATCCTCAGCACCACATAAAAATAAAATAAAGGTGTTGTGTCCAACTACAACTGAAACAATATTTTAAAAATATGGTTTCAAATGCATTAAGCACTATAAATTTGCCAGTATAACATTTGAAATGTTGCACCTCATATCTGTTGAACTTTTTCATCTTGCAAAACTGAAACTCTATACCCATTAAATACTAATTTCCCCTCTCTTCTATTCCCAGATGTTAGCAACTATCTTTCTACTTTCTCATTTCAAATATCTTAGATACCTCATATGAGTGGGATAATACAGTATTTGTCTTTTTGTGACTGACATATTTCATTTAGCGTAATGTACTTGGGATTCATCCATTTTATGATATAGGACAGAATCAATCTCCCTATCTATGTCTCTCTCGCTCTCGCTCTCGCTCTCTCACTCTCTCCCTCTTTTTTCCATACTGGAGATTCAACCAAAAAAAGATTGGCTTACTTCACTTACCATTATATTCTCTAACTCCATCTATTTACCTGCAAATGCCATGATTTTATTCTCTTAATGCTGAGTAATATTCCATTGTGTATATATACCAAAGTTTGCCATCATATAATAAATTAGAATGAATAAATAATTTAAATAAATAAATAAATAAAATCATATGCTAGATGTTGTAGAAGAGTAGGCAAAGGCTAATAGACAATTCTGCAAAGAAGACATACAAATGGCCTACAAGCATATGAGAAGTTCGATATCATGTGAGGCAAGTTCTATACCCTGAGCTACAACCCCAGCCCTTTTAAAATTTTTTATTTTGAGACAGGGTCTTTCTAAATTCCTCAGGCTGCTCTTGAACTTGCCATTCTTCTTTGTATTACCCTTCCTTAACTTCTCAAGTAGCTGGGATTACAGGGATTTGTCACCAACCTGGCCAGAATAACCTTTTTTTTTTTTTTTTTTTTTAGTTATCTTTGGACA